ATCTAGCTTAAGCTCCAATTGACTATTAGAATAAAACTCTTCTGTAACATTAGGCTTTAAAATATAGCTAGTTTGGGGCTGGGAAGGTAGCTCAGTGGTAGAGTGCTTGCTTTGCATGCATGTGGCCCTGGGATCAATTCCTCAGCACCATATAAGCAGAAAAAGCCGGAAATGATGCTTTGGCTCAAATGGTAGAGCACTAGCCTTGAGCTGAAAAGCTGAAGGACAGCGCCCAGGCCCAGAGTTCGGCCCTACAACCAACAAAAAATATACATACATATGTATATATAATTTAAGAAATCTTAATCCTTTGGCTTATATGGTACTTTTTAAGTCCCACATTCCTTTTTAAACTATTAAATCAAAGTAGGATACATTGGTCTGGAATTGTTGGTTCTAAGGTTACAAGTAAGATCTCCTGGGCCAGAACACATATGTAGATTTTGGATTATACCTTCTGTTTCTTTTCTCCTTGGAAGTTAAATAATGGCAGAGACAAGTCTGTTAGAGGCCGGGGCCTCTGCAGCCTCCACAGCTGCTGCTCTGGAGAACCTACAGGTGGAGGCGAGCTGCTCTGTGTGCCTGGAGTATCTGAAGGAGCCTGTCATCATCGAGTGTGGGCATAACTTCTGTAAAGCTTGTATTACCCGCTGGTGGGAGGACCTAGAGAGGGACTTCCCTTGTCCTGTCTGTCGGAAGACATCTCGCTACCGCAGTCTTCGGCCTAATCGGCAGCTAGGCAGTATGGTGGAAATTGCCAAGCAGCTCCAAGCTGTTAAACGGAAGATCCGAGATGAGATACTCTGCTCCCAGCATCATGAAGCCCTCAGCCTCTTCTGCTATGAAGACCAGGAAGCTGTATGCTTGATATGTGCCATTTCCCACACCCACCGGGCCCACACCGTTGTTCCATTGGATGATGCAACACAGGAGTACAAGGTGAGCAATCAGATACATGCCAGTGTCTGAATATATATATATATACAGATGCCAGTGTGGTGGAAGATACACTCCCTAGGTAAAGGGTTGTAAGCCCCAGAGGCAGGACTGTACCTGATCTTAACTCTGTAAGTCCCCTCACTCCTCAGACCTGCATACATGGATACACTGTACATCTAATCAACTACACTCTAGAATATGAAGTAGAGAAGTGTGCCCCCAGATTTTCTATAAAGTTTGCAACACTCTTTGTGTCTTATGGGTGCGTATATAGTCTTGGAATAGTGAGTGAAACTTCATGGAGAGGATCAAACTTCAAAAGGCATTGCGATTTCTTGATTCTGCTTCCTGCCTGGTTTTCCTATTGGTTGAAATAGGTAGCATCATTTGATTGACATCAACCAGACTATTTGCATCTTCCCTTAGATAATGGGAAACATGGCATGGGGTTTAACTTACTGCTGAGGCATAGGGTAAATGTCTAAGTAATAGAATCTTAGCATTTTATCTTAATTGTATATAACAAGATGTTGAAACAGTAAGGTGATTAGTGGCATAAGTAATCAAGTTTTTGTTCTATTTTTAAGTGGCTAGAATTGGATGGGAGAACAAGGTGCAAAGGTTACTTTGAGCTGTGAATGTAGTGCAGTGGCACACCGTGTGCTTACCATATGCAATAGGCTTTATTCCCAGCATCATCACCAAGAGCTTTAGCCAAAACTGGTAGATCATGCCTGTAATCCTAGCTATTCAGGGGCTAAAATCTGAGGATCACAGTTCAAAGCCAACCTGGCCAGGAATGTCCATCCATGAGACTCATTTCCAGTTACCCACCAAAAAAGTCAGAAGTGGAGCTGTGGCCCAAATGGTAGAGCGCTAGCCTTGAGAAAAAAAAAAAAAAAAGCTCAAGGACAGCACCCAGGCCCTGAGTTCAAGTTCCAGGACTTGCACAAAAGAAAAAAAAAGTAGCTTTAATAGCAAGAGGCAATTGTTCATAAGATAATGGGTGGGGTCAGGGAAGGACACAGAGTTGATTAGAACTAGAAAACTAGATTCTGTGGGAAGAAAAGTGGATGAGCTGAGAAGCTGATAAGGACAAGCCAGTGGCAAGGGATGGGCCTGTAGGAAGTTAATGTCTCAAATTATGGACAAAGAAAGGAGCTTTATCAAGAAATGGTGAGATGGATAGGAACTAAACAAATGGGCTTAGAAGTGGAAATGTGTGATGGAGTGCTTGAGTAGCCCCTGGTTTTTACAAATAAAATAATAAACAAATGGATTAATAAAACAAATAGATTAATGTCTGAGCAATAGATATGCCAGTGCATCCCGGCTTATTTTAGCACTCTTATTCTTTCCAACTCATCAGGAAAAACTGCAGAAGTGCCTGGAGCCCCTGGAATACAAGCTGCAGGAAATCACCCGCTGCAAATCCTCTGAGGAAAAGAAGCCAGGGGAGCTCAAGGTAAAGACTGGAGATCTCATTCACACTGCCCTAGGGTATTTGCCTCTGAAGGAATTAACCACATTATTTAATCCATTCATTCTGATTCCTTAGAAAAACTGTTCTTTCAAAAAAGGTGTGATTGTCCTTCAACACTGTACTTAACTTACTTGTCATGAATTCATTTTGAGCAGAAGGATGAAAGAGATGAAGGATGTGGTAGAGCACCTGTTACCAAGTATAAAACCCTAAATTCAAACCCCAGCAATGCCAACAAAATAAAACAAAAAAGACTCTCTCCTGAGACTCTCTCCTATTTG